TCAAATTTTCTTGTTTAGCCCCCCAAATCTATATTTTTCCTCTTATTTTTCCATCTCGAAAATCTTTTTTCACCTCGAAAGGTCACTGTGCCATCTTGATAATCCAGGACTATAAAAAATGTTTGCCAACTCAAAAATCGAAATCAGTTTTCAATATATTTTTACGATCAAGATGAAGACAATCTTTATCATCTTTTTGTTGATATCGACTTCAACGATCACTAGTTCTACGGCTACTCTGGATAAACAACAATCGGATTTTATTGATTTAATCAATGTAGTCAGACGTAAAGTTGCTAAATATTACCCGGGTGTCGTTCTATTAGAGGTTTTACGGTATTTGTGTTTTTGGAAGGAAGAAAAGTGTGGTGCGGAATTTTTTGAAATTCCTAAAAAAAACTTTTTAAAAATTTTTCATATCATTCAGAATCATTCTTCAATTCCAACTATGAATTCGATAGTTTCTTCGAACCGTCAATAATAAATTCAATGATTTTTTTTTCAAAAAACTTCTGTTGTCAGTTGTCAGGTAAGAATATTTTAACTTATGATCACTAGCAATTAGTCACAAAATATAAAGTTTTCCGGAAGTAAAAACGTTATCAAACAGGTGAAATTTCATAATTAATTCCATTTTTTTCGTCTGAATGTTTTTTCCCGGAACCAATAATTTTGATACCAGTCATTTCGAAATCAGCCACTTCGAAACCTGTCATTTCGAAGCCGGTAATTTCAAAACTATGTGACACTTCGAAACCAGTCATTTCGAAAGCAGTCAGTTTGAAAACAGTCAGTTCGAAACTGCGACACTTCGAACCAGTCACTTCGAAATTGGTCAGTTCGAAACCAGTCATTTCTATACCAGGCAGTTCAAAACCAGTCAGTTCGAAACCGCGTCACTTTGAAACCGGTCATTTCGAAACTATGTGACACTTCGAAACTAGGCATTTTGAAACCAATAATTCTGAAACCAGGCATTTCAAAACCAGTCATTTCGAAACCGGTCAATTCAAAACCAGTCACTTTGAAACCGGTCATTTCGAAACCAGTCACTTCGAAACCGGTCATTTCGAAACCAGTCAGTTTGAATCCAGTCAGTTCGAAACTGCGACACTTCGAAACCAGTCACTTCAAAACCTGTCAGTTCGAAACCAGTCATTTCTATACCAGGCAGTTCAAAACCAGTCAGTTCGAAACCGCGTCACTTTGAAACCGGTCATTTCGAAACTATGTGACACTTCGAAACTAGGCATTTTGAAACCAATAATTCTGAAACCAGGCATTTCAAAACCAGTCATTTCGAAACCGGTCAATTCAAAACCAGTCACTTTGAAACCGGTCATTTCGAAACCAGTCACTTCGAAACCGGTCATTTCGAAACCAGTCAGTTTGAATCCAGTCAGTTCGAAACTGCGACACTTCGAAACCAGTCACTTCAAAACCTGTCAGTTCGAAACCAGTCATTTCTATACCAGGCAGTTCGAAACCGGTCACTTCAAAACCAGTCACTTTGAAACCGGTCATTTCGAAACTATGTGACACTTCGAAACTAGGCATTTTGAAACCAATAATTCTGAAACCAGGCATTTCAAAACCACCAGTCATTTCGAAACCAGCCACTTCGAAACCGGCCACTTCAAAACCAGTCACTTTGAAACCGGTCATTTCGAAACCAGTCACTTCGAAATCGGTCGTTTCGAAACTATGTGACACTTCGAAACCAGTCATTTCAAAACCAGTCACTTCGAAACCGGACATTTCGAAACTACGTGACACTTTTTAGTACAGAATGAAGTAATTAAAAATTAGAGAAATTTAAAAAAATTCTAATTTATGATCACTGCAATTAGTCACAAAATATATGAAGTTTTCCGGAAATAAAAACGCTATCAAACAGGTGAAATTTCACAATTAATTTCAAAACTAGAGAGTTTTCTCCTTTTCTCGTCTGAAAGTTTTTCATTTTCTCAAAAAAAAAATGGAGGCGAGTACAAAAACTTTTCTTCAACTTATTTCCCAAATTTTCGATGTTTTTTACTATATTTGTCTACTTTTAATGCTTCTTATTTTTCCTTATTTTCACAAAATTTATAAATTGAATTTCAAGAAAAAATTACATCCTTTAATTCGAATTTTATATCATTTAACCTGGTTTTCTCATTTTCATGTAATTTTAAAATTAATTTTGAAAGTTATGGAAATTAAAGCATTGCCAATTTTCGTGATTCAAATTTATGAATTTTATCATAAGGTATTGGAATATTGGTTCAGTTCAGTTTCTTTTATTTTATTAATTTTGGCTTGGAGAAGTTTTCAAATTGCATTTTTCAATGGTTCGAAGTTACAAATCAAGTTGGGAACTTTTTTGTGTTTATTCTTGCCCAGTTTTATCATTGTTTTCGTTTTGCGAGCAATGGTTTTTTATTATTGTGATGGATGGAAAAGGACAGAAATTGAAATTGTAAGTTATTCTATTTTTCATTTTCGCTCCGCGACACTTCAAAACCAGTCAGTTCGAAACCGCGTCACTTTGAAACCTGTCATTTCGAAACTATGTGGCACTTCGAAACCAGGCATTTTGAAACCAATCATTTCAAAACCGGCCATTTCGAAACCACGACACTTCGAAACCAGTAATTTCGAAACCAGTCAGTTCAAAACCGTGTCACTTCGAAACTGGTCACTTCGAAACCGCGACATTTCGAAACTATGTGACACTTCGAAACCAGGCATTTCGAAACCAAACATTTCAAAACCAGCCATTTCGAAACCACGACACTTCGAAACCAGTAATTTCGAAACCAGTCATCTCCAAACCAAGCATTTCGAAACCGGTCATTCCGAAACCAGGCATTCCAAAATCAGCCACTTCGAAACCGGTCATTTCGAAACCGGTCACTTCAAAACCGCGACATTTCGAAACCACGACACTTCGAAACTAGGCATTTCGAAACCGAAAAAAAAGCACAGTCACGTAAAAATGAAATTAGAAATTGGAAATTTTAAGTCTTAAATTAAAGAAAAAATGCAGATTGTAAATTTAGTAGTTTCGAAACGACCGGTTTCGAAATGACAGGTTTCGGAGTGTCGCGGTTTCGAGGGGTGACGCGGAGCCAAAAAGTCGAAACTTCAAAAACTCTGAAGTTCTGAAATTCACAGATTCCAAAATTCAGACTTTCGAAATAATAAAAAATTCAAAATTTCAAAATTTCTGAAATTTCTAAAAATCCATTATTTTCAGGCTCAACATTTAATTTTCTATGGTTTTCTATTAATTTCCACATTTTTATATTATCCAATATTTCTATTTGGAAAAACTCAAAAATCCGAAAATTTCACATATTTTTCAAATCTCACATTTTCCCTATTTATCCTAAAAAGCATGTTTCTCATCCAATCAGTTTTTCCACTCATTTTGAATTCTCAAATTTTGAGAAACGTAAAAATTTTTTCAAAAAATTTTTGTGATTCTAATTTTTCAGGAATCCCGTTTACCATTTTTTCTATTTTTAAACAATTTATGTTTTCCATCTGGCATTCAATTATCTTATTTAATTATTCATAGAAGTCAATTAAGGCTCATTATTTGTTGTGGAAGAATATCTGAAAATTCGTGTCATCATCCAGAATCTGATATCGCAATTGTTGAAAATTTAAGAACTTTTTCTGGCTGAAAATTTTGATATTTTTTCAAATTTTTATTTTTCAAGAATTTTCTATACAATCACAATTTTTCTGAAAGTTGATAAAAATTTTATTTTCATTATTTATTTTTTATAAAGCTTTATAAAAGCTAAACTTTAAAAAATTATTACAGTAATTCTTAAAAATTAAAACCCAAAAAAAAAAATCAATTAGCATTAAAAGGGCTGACAACCATGATAGAATTTGCATTTGTTGTATTTTTTGGAGTGGACTTTGGACTCCTTTGAGAAGCACTGATTGTTGCGACGAATACGGTAGATCTGGAGGTGAAGAGCCATTGGCGGAATTCTCGATTGAAGACTATTACGACGGCTCTGCAATAAATCGAAACTATGGGATTTTCATTTATTTTTGAAAAATATAGAAGACTTTTAAAAAGGTCTCGAAGGTAAGGCTTCCCATACCGGTCGGTCGAAAATTGCCGACCGCCGACCGACCACTGGCCAGCCAAAACACGAGTTGATGCTTACGAAGCACTTTAGTTTCCGACAAACGAGGCATTTAATGAATAGTTCGTCGTAAAATACAATGTAGCGTATGCAAACACGTTGACGCGCAAATGCACGAAAACGGTCGGCGTTCTGACCGATTGGTCAGGTGTCGTCCGATCGGTCAGTTCGGTCGGCTGTCAGTCGGCTCGGTCGGTGGTCGGTTGGTCGGCTAAATTTCCCGACCGAATGGAAGCCTCATTCGAAAGAAGAAATCCAAAGTTTAAAAACTCAGAAAGAAAAGGGTAAAAGTCAAAAATCTCCGTGTCACTTCAAAACAGCGACACTTCGAAACCAGCCATTTCGAAAACAGTTACTTCGAAACCGGTCACTTCGAAACCGCGACACTTTGAAACCGGTCATTTCGAAACTACGTGACACTTCGAAACCAGTCAGTTCGAAACCGCAAAACTTCGAAACCGGTCATTTCGAAACTATGTAACACTTCGAAACTAGTCATTTCGAAATCGGTCACTTCGAAACCAGTCATTTCGAAACCAGCCAGTTCGAAACCAGTCAGTCCAAATCCAGACATTTCGAAACCAGTTCGAAACTAGTCACTTCGAAACTATGTGACACTTCGAAACCAGTCAGTTCGAAACCGCAAAACTTCGAAACCGGTCATTTCGAAACTATGTAACACTTCGAAACTAGTCATTTCGAAACTACGTGACACTTCGAAACCAGTCATTTCGAAATCGGTCACTTCGAAACCAGCCATTTCGAAACCGGTCACTTCGAAACCAGTCATTTCGAAACCAGCCAGTTCGAAACCAGTCAGTCCAAATCCAGACATTTCGAAACCAGTTCGAAACTAGTCACTTCGAAACTATGTGGCACTTCGAAACTAGGCATTTCGAAACCAGTCATTTCTATACCAGGCAGTTCGAAACCGGTCATTTCGAAACCACGACACTTCGAAACCAGTCATTTCAAAACATATCATTTCGAAACTAGTAATTTCTAAACCAAGCATTTCGAAACCGGTCATTCCGAAACCAGGCATTTCAAAAACAGTCATTTCGAAACCGGTCACTTCAAAACCGCGACATTTCGAAACCACGACACTTCGAAACCAGTCATTTCGAAACCGGTCACTTCGAAACCAGCCATTTCGAAACCAGCCAGTTCGAAACCGCGACACTTCGAAACCAGCCATTTCGAAACCAGTCACTACGAAACCAGTCATTTCGAAACCGCAACACTTCGGAACCGAAAAAAAACAAGGTAACGTAAAAATGAAATTGAAAATTGGAAATTTTAAGTCTTAAATTTAAAAAAAAAGTTGCAGCGTGCAAGTTTTGTAGTTTCGGAATGACCGGTTTCAAAGTGTCGCGGTTTCGAAATGACTGTTCAGAAAATTAAAATTCGAAAAATCAAAATTCAGAAAATCAAAAGTTAGAACATTTTTTATTCGAAATAATCTCAGAATTATTTCCCAAAATTATAATTGTCTTTTTTCTAAATCTTTGAAAATGTTCAGAAGTTGGAAAACTGAAGTTTTGAATTCCGAGTTTCCAATTTTCAGGATTTTCAAAAACTAACTTTTTCACTAGTCCAAAAACCACTCACGGATCAAAAATCATCAACAAGTTGGACGAAAACGTAGAAGTAAAAAACAATTTCCATTCATTCGAATCCCCTGGCAACCATTGGAATGCATTCGAAATCCAAATACTATGTGCATTGAACACAACTCCTTGTAATAAAACTTGTAATGCAAAATTCCTTTCCGTCCGTCTTGCTTCTTTGCTCATCGAGCCCAACACATTTCTTTTAAGGACTAAAAGTATAATAGTTGTCACGTCAGCTGCCAGTATCATAAAGGAGAGGGCAGATTGAGAGGAGAGAAGGAAGGTACGGTACTTTGATCCGCAGGTTTCAATTGTTAGGTCGGATGTGAATAACCAACCGAAGTGGGTGTAGGAGAGACGACAATTTACTGAAAATTTATTATTTATTTTTGAAAGTTCATGTATTTCCCAAAATTCATGAAATTCAAATTTTTCGTTTTGACATGCTATACGCTTTAATATGAGTATAAACACGACCAAATTAGCAAAATTTGGATTTTTGTAAAATTTTGTTTAGTCCATATCTTTCTCAATTTTGATTGAACCTCGTTGAAACTTTAATTTTTGAGTTTGCCTTGTCACCAGCTTTGAAACGAGTATAAACATTACCTGGTTTGGAAAAAGTTGGGCGCATTTTCGGTGCCTTGGCGCGTTTTCGGTGCCTTGGCGCATTTGGCGCATTTTCGGTGCCTTGGCGCGTGACTTGGCGCATTGTAGGCGCACGGATCGATTTTGCAGCTCTAGTAGGTTTTTGATCACATTTACGGTCGATTTTGTGACTATGGCACATTTTGGATGCCTTGGCGCATTTCCAGTGCGTTGGCGCACTTTTGGTGCGTTAGCGCTTTTCTCTTGACGAATTTCAGGAGCGTTGAACGGTTTTGCAGCTCTAGCATGTTTTCCATTACATTTACGGCCAGTTGTGCGACCTTTCCTCATTTTGGGTGCCTTGGCGCGTTTTCAGTGCGCTGACGCGTTTCCGATGCGTTGGCGCTTTTCTCGTGGGTTGACGCATTAAAGGCGCACGGATAAATTTGGAAGCTCCGGCGTGTTTTCCGTTTCAATGACGGTCACTTTTGTGACTCTGGGTCAGTATGGATACATTGGTGTGTTTTCGATGCGTTGGGGAATTTTCGGTGCCTAGGCGTTTTTCTTGTGGCTTGGCGCTGTCCTTGTTCAAACTTAAATTTTTTGTGTTTGCCTCGTCCTCAGCTTTGAAATGAATATGAACACAAGTATATCCTGATGAATTTGATTTTTGCCTTGGACCATGTACCTTTAAAGAACAAAAAATTAAATATTTTGGAAGCATGTCGTGTTTATACTCATTTTGAAGCTCATGACAAAACAAACTCGAAAATCCAAATTTCAATGATATTGAAGAAAAACTGGAAAGGTTAGGGACCAAACAAAATTTGACAAAAATTCAAAATGTTCCAATTTTGGTCATGTTTATACTCGTTTTGAAGCTCTAAACATGAGAAATTCCAAACTCACATCCAAAAATATAATACGACGAAATGCATCCAGGTATGATCCAACAAGTTGCGACGAAGAACAAAACCATTTTGTGACTGAAAGTTTTCAGAAAATTATCTTTTTTGTTGTTTTTTTTTCAAAATTCTCACATGAAGAACAATTTATAATAAATTGGAAAACAAATTGCACATGTTCTGTTCACCGAAATCAACAAAAAGTTTGTAGTGATTACTGTCAAAATTAGCGCTGAGCAATTTCCGAAATACATGGAATTTTCGACCAGAAGTTTGAAGTCACTGAAAATCTTGAATTTAGCCTAGAAGTCCGAAATTCTGAAATTGAAAAAAAATGGCCGAGAAGTTCGAAACTTTGGATTTCTAGGCCATCTCAAACTTACAATGCCAAACCAAACGTATAGAAAATAAGGGTAGAAACACAAGCGATGAGTTGAGAGAAATTCTGATTCGCAGTCAAAATTCCAAAAGATCCCCGCATTGCTGGAATACGGTAGCAGCCGATGAGTACGGTAACTATGAGAATGAAGCCGATGGAAACGATCTAGAAATTTTTTCATGTTACGTACCGAAAGACTGGTAATAGAAGAGCCCTCAAGTTTGAGCTTAATTATCTCAATTTCAGTAGAAGATATCGAAAAATTGTCAACTGATAAAATGTACCTGATATTATGATAAAAGTTTTGTCAGTTGTGAACTTTCTCATATCTTTACAGGAAGTGAGATAAATTAAAGGATAAATTAAGGTGAAAGTTGAAGTGCCCTTCTATTACAGAGTTTACGGTAATTTTGAAATATGTATTACACATTTTTGCGAAGATTCTTAAAACTCCGAATTCTGAGATTCTGAGGTTCTGAAATTCTGAGATTCTGAGATTCTGAGATTTTGAGTTTCTGAGATTCTGAGATTCTGAGATTCTGAGATTCTGAGATTCTGAGATTCTGAGATTCTAAGATTCTGAGGTTCTGAGATTTTAAGATTCTGAGATTCTGAGATTCTGAGATTCTGAGATTCTGAGATTCTGAGATTCTGAGATTCTGAGATTCTGAGATTCTGAGATTCTGAGATTCTGAGATTCTGAGATTCTGAGATTCTGAGATTCTGAGATTCTGAGATTCTAAGATTCTGAGGTTCTGAAATTCTGAGATTCTAAGATTCTGAGATCCTGAGATTCTGAAATTCTGAGATTCTGAGATTCTGAGATCCTGAGATCCTGAGATTCTGAGATTCTAAGATTCTGAGATTCTGAGATTCTGAGATTCTGAGATTCTGAGATTCTGAGATTCTGAGATTCTGAGATTCTGAGATTCTGAGATTCTGAGATTCTGAGATTCTGAGATTCTGAGATTCTGAGATTCTGAGATTCTGAGATTCTGAGATTCTGAGAATCTGAAAATCTGAAATTCAGAAAACAATCTAAAAATCCCAAAATTCCACCTACCACGGATACTGTAGCTCCTGCCAACACGTCATCAGCACTGTGATCCATTGTTGTTGAATTTGACATAATTTTTTCTGAAAATTTCAGAATTTTGAGCTTTCTGAAACTACGAAATACATAATTTTCCGCTTTTAAAAGTTTTTCACGCCTTCAGATTTTTAATTTGTTGACGATATGTTTCTGAGAATTCGAGTGGAAAACTGTGGGTTGAAAAAATGAGGAACTAATTTTTTGACAAAAAAAAATTAACGGAAGAATTGAAAATTTGCAACAGAAATAGAAAAACTCAAAAGTGCAGTGAAACGAATTTGCAGAATTAAGGAAATCGAAGTTTTTTCAATAATTCAGAAATTCAGAAATTCAGAAATTCAGAAATTCAGAAATTCAGAAATTCAGAAATTCAGAAATTCAGAAATTCAGAAATACCGTAAAACCTGTATTAGAAGGGCCGACCCTTCTATTTTTTCAAGCTCCTCTCGGAGGGCCCTTTTATTAGAGGGGTCTTTTTATTAAAGGTGCTTTTTCGATACAGGCCTTACGGTATAACCTGAAAATCCTAATAATCTGAAAAATTGACTAAAATAAAAAAAAACTTTCAAAAAAAAAAGTAGGCGTTAAATTTTTTGACACGCCTTCATAATTTTTGTTTATCAAAACCCAAAAATTTCTTTCTAGACGTGAAAACTCTGAACCTCGATTCAGATGACGTCCTCTGATTTATCAGAATTCTTCTGATCCGGAAATCATGTTTTTTTTTCGAAATTTCATTTTTCTGAGTACAAAAAAAAGGAATCCAGTTGGATCCGACGTCTTCTGATTCTGAAGTTCAGGAACTCAAATTTTTTGAATTTTCGAATTTTCAAATTTTGAAAACTTTCAAAAGAAATTCTGAAATTCAGAATCCAAAAATTCCAAAATTCTGAAAATCTAAAATTAAACGTTTTCTGACCCTATTTATATTAAATCAAAAAATATCCCTCCGAAAAGCAGAAAAGTGGGAGGAGCCTAATTTCCAGAGGATTAGTTCCAGTTATTTAGTCACGGATTGTTCAGGAAGAAAAAAAGAAAAAAAATGATGTCAAAAACCTGAAAAAAAAGCTATGTGCAAACTTTTTTTTGGGATCAAAATGGAACAGGATTTTTTGGAAGTTCAGGAAATTCCGAAATTGTAAAATTTCAGAAACTCTGAAAATTTGAAAAATCATGCTTCCAAAAATTTGAGATTCCAAAACACAAAAAAAAAATTGTGCATTGATAGGAAATTGAACTTTTTCAAATCAGCAACATACAGTACCGGTCAAAAGGTTGTAAACGCAAGGTTTTTTGAGCATAACTACTTTTTGAGAGCAGATATCGAGCCAAAATTTTCACCAGATATTTCTGTAAAGGTTTGCCAAATCGTGGCCAAGTTTCATACAAAAATTTGAAAAAATAACGTTTTTTAGAGAAAAAATTGAATTTTCGAAAAAAAAAATCAAATTTTGACCTAAATTTTTCAAAAAAGCATAATTTCCGAAAACCACTTTTATTCAACACAAAACATATAAAAAATAACAAATTGAATCTAATATTTTGTTGCAAAGCCACGAGAGTCAATGACAGCCTGACATCTGCGCTGCATGGAGTCGAGCAAATTGTTGATTACTGTCTGTGGGATCTTCTTCCATTCCTCTTCCAGTTGTTGGTACTTTTCGTCCACATTTTTGGCTTTTTTCCCTGCCAATCTTCTCTCCAGCTCATCCCATAGATTCTCGATCGGATTGAGGCCATGATTCCAGCTGCTCTCAAACGACGTTTGACGGTCGAGGTCGATGGGGAAACCGGACTAATCAAAAATACCTCCCGTCCAATCGCAGGCGCAGTCAATCTTGGATTGCTTCTGGAGACGCGGGCAATGTTGATATCATCCAGATGAGAAGTGACACGTGTGCGGCCGATATGATACTTTACTGGTTTACATCCGTGGCTCTTCCAGCGCTTCAGAAATCTAGAAATTCATGGTTTTCCTACGTCAAACTGAGAAGCTAGATCTCCAAGAGATGCTCCATTTTGGTGTCCCCGAAAAATGGCTTTTTGCTCCTCAACGGTCAAGTTACGCTTTTTCCCAGCTCTTGGCATACCTGAAAACTAAAAGCTACTAAAAAAACATTGAAAACATTGATAAATTTTGAAAAAAAATAGGTCTGAAAAAAAGGGCGAAAAACCCGATTTTTTCGAAAAACTGAAAAATCTGCAGAATCGCGTCAGCGTGTTTGCGTACAACTCGCTGACCGTAGTCATACCTTTTGACTTACCCCTGTAGTTACCAGAAAAAAAATCACGGAATTTGGTTGGGTATTCGTTGAGTTATGCTCGAAAAACCCTTTACAACCTTTTGACCGGTACTGTATCTATTTTGCTCATTATTTTGAGCACAAAAATTTCAAAATTTCGATTTTTTTGGAAATTCAAAAATTCCGGGAATTCCGAAAAGTGAAGAAAAAGTTCAAACTACATATTCGAACATGAGTTTTTTTTTCAGATTTTCCGGATTTCCAGGTTTCAGAATACTTCAGAATGTTCCAAAAATAAAATCGTTATGAAGATCAGGAAGAAAAAAAATTGGAGTCATCTTATAATTTTTGGAGCTTCTGTCTTCTGTAAAATGTCTGAAAATGGACAAAAAAGGGCATGTGAAATTGTATCTGTTTGTACATGTCGATGTCTGGGAAATTGTATATGAACTTGTATGTCCTTGTCTGGAACATGACCAGGAAGAGAATGTTTGCGATGACAGATCAAAAAAGAAAAAAAATGTCATTTTCTAGACGAAATGAGAATTTTTATGTTTTTTGCGCGAAAATTGAGTCAAGGCACTAGAAACGCGCCGAGGCACTGAAAACGCGCCAACACTCAAATTCCCCATTTCCACGTGCGAAACGATTTTTAGCTAACGTAGACATGAATCAACGCACAAAACTTGAGTCAAGGCACTAAAAACGGGCCAACGCACCAAAAATGCGCCAACGCACCGAAAACGCGTCAAGGCAACTAAAATTTGCCACAGTCACAAAACTGACTATAAATGTGACAAAAAGCGTGTTATAGCTGTAAAACTGGTTCAAGTGCCCATAATGCGCCAAGTCACGAGATAAGCGCTAAGGCTTCCATTTCGGTCAGTCGAAAATAGCCGACCGAGCTGACCGATCGGTCGGCGCGCCGACCGTTTTGGTGCAGCGCTAGCTCTCAAAAACGCGGTGGCCGACGCAGGCCTCGGCTCCCGAAGCCCCGCCCACTTGCCGGTTCAATTTCCCAACTTTGAGGTAAGTTTCGCGATGGGAGAAGACAACATATTCAAATTTTATATCACTGCGTTTGTCTTGATGAAACAAAATAGAAATAAAAAAATATTTTCAGAATTTTGTACTTGAAAAAACTTATCCCCTCTCAAAGTGGCTGAAAATGTGCCGAAATAGTTATGTTTGAGGTGGCATAACTTTGTTCAAGTACAGAATTTTGGAAATATTTTTGGATATTCTATTTTGTCTCATCAAGACAAACGCAGTGATATAATTTTTAGGTATGTCATCTTGCTCCGTTGCGGAGCTTACCTCAAAATTGGGTAATTGAACCGTGGGCGGGGCTTAGGGAGCCACACACAGGGAACATTAATTGAGGCCCGCGTCGGTCACCGCGTTTCTGTGGGCAACGCGTTTTTGATAGCTAGCACTGTAAAATCCAATCGGTCGGCTGGGTCGGCGGTCGGTCGGTTGGCTAAATTTGCCGACCGAATGGAAATCTTAATAAGCGCTAACGCATCAAAAATGCCCCACTGCACTGGAAACGAGCCAATGTATCCAAACTCACACAGAGTCACAAAACTGACCGTAAATGTGACGGAAATCACGCTGGAGTTGCAAAATTAACCAGTGCGCCTTTAATGCGTCAACCCACGAGAAAAGCGCCAACGCACCGGAAATGCTCCCAACGCACTGAAAACGCGCCAAGGCCCAAAAAATGGGCCAAAGTCACAATACGGATCGTAAATGTAACGGACAACAAACTAAAGCTGAAAACCGCGCAACGCTCCTGAAGTGCGCCAAGTAATGAGAAAAGCGAAAACGCACCACAAATGCGCCAACTGACCGAAAACGCGACAAGGCAACTAAAAATGTGCCAGAGTCACAAACTGATGGTAAACGTGACGGAAAATATGCCAGAGCTGCAAAATTGGTCTGTGTTCCCACAATGCGCCAAGTCACGAGAAAAGCGCCAACGCCCGATTTGCTCCAAACCAAGTGATTATACTCGTTTTGAAGCTCTCAACAAGACAAATTTAAAATTTAAAATTTTATAAGTTCAAACATAATCAGAAATTCAAAAAATGTCAGTTTCCGGTTGTTGATTTTCCATTTCTGGCGATCAGAGACAGTGTTGTGGGTTTTGGCTGAAAATTATTGATTTTTTTTTGGTTTGTCAAGAGTTTACAAACCTTAAATTTACAGCAAAATGCGGATTGCACATCCTTATTCAATGTTAACAACATAATTGGGTTGATAAATGATAAATTTCCAGATACTGTAGGATAATAAAGTCGGAATGCGCGGACTCTAGTAACCTGAAAATGTCTGTCTGTGGTTCTGTGTGTTCGGATGTCCATGCCACTCACATCTGCATCAAATGCGAGAATGTATTCACAAATATAGAAGAAAAATGCAATAAAACAGAAGACGATAAGGATGAAGACGTGGAGTGTGAGGCGAGCGTCTTTCAGTTTTTTCGGTGATTTCTGGCTAAAAATCACAGAAAATTCTTATAAAAAAGAAACTCGGGAACACAGAAATCCAAATAAAAAATACCCACATAGCCACAGAATGCTCCACTTTTCTAGCTCTTATCATGACGATTGCAATTTGAGAATACATAAAAACGACGGCTAAGCACGCAAAAAAATAAGTGGCCATTACAGTAATCGATGTATACTGTAAGTGTGATCTACTGGCAATTGTGAGCAATGTGATTTCATTTTCAAAGTGAGCATCTGTGTTGAGAAGAGCTGGAAGGTAGATCAAAAGAGCTAGGAGCCAATGAGCAAGGCCCAGGAGTAGTGGTGGACAGTTGTTGAGACGCTGAAAATGTTGAAAATAATGGGGTTTAAAGCTCCTTGACGCCCTTTTTGACGCGTTATTCAGAAATGCGCAAGGCACGATAAAAGCGCAAGACACCAGAAATGCGTCCGGTGCAGGAAACGCGGAGATCTGTGCATTCCCGGCGTGACTCGGCGCATTCCCGGTTATTCACGAGAAATGCGTCAAGGCACCGTAAACGCGTCAAGTCTCGAGAAATGTGGCGAATTCTCTCGATTGTGACTTGACGCGTTTCCATTTACTTTATGTCAAAGTATCCTAAAAAGCGCAAAACACGAAAAATGCGCCAAAAGGTTATAGTTGGGGTCAACAATTATGAGCTAGTACTACAGAAGCAAAACTTGCGACAAGGAACGAGAAATTCACCGATACACGAGAAACGCGCCGACTCACGGGAAACGCGTCAAGGAATAAAAGAAGGTTTAATCTTTTGAGTGCCGCTACGCAATGTTTTAGTGTCTTCCCGCACTTGCAGTGCCTTGGTGCGTTTCTAGTGCTTTAGCGCATTTCTCGTGACTTGACGCGTTCATTTTTTCACATTGTTAACCGCTTTTTTTGCATTGTTGAACTTTTTTGGCACGAGAAGTGTGTCAAGGCACGAAAAATGTGTCAATACACCGAAAATGCGCCAAGGAGCCCAAAGTTAGTAAGAGTGACTAGAACTGGGTCAAATATCCAAATATGTGACGGAAAAGGCGCTAGTCCTAATGCGTCTAGTCACGAGAAAAGCGCCAATGCACCGAAAATGCGTCAACGCCTAAGTTCTGAAAACCTATGCTTGTTTATACTCATTTCGAAGCTCTCGAAAAGCCGAATCTAAATTTCACTGTTTCAAATTTCGAAAACTCACATAATTCAAGATTCCGTGGGATTTACAAACTGTCAAATATCTTTGAGTGGATATCAAAAACACCCCAACACCTCTTAAAGTGAACATTAAGGGACCAGAATTGGTATAAGCGAATGCAGAAAATGGGGATAACGAATAGATGGTAATGTTGCCAAAAGAGAAATAGCGTGCAGAAATGAGAGACGAAAATATGAGAATTGTGCAAATGTCAGCGAGTCCCTGGAAACGTATTTTTAGACAGCAAAATATTTTCCCCCAAAAATATTATTCTTCTGACGAAAACGTCACAAATTTGTCTTCTGATTCTCACGGTCTGATGGAGAATGAACTCAAAGTTCAAAAAATGGATTTTTCTAGAATTTTCTAAATTTTTCGGAATATTTTCATTTTTGAAAAGTTCAAGTCTACTATAATGTCTGGAATTTTAGGTGCTTTCGGAAATCGCTGATTTTTTTTAAAATTTTGTGTCATTTTTTGTCTTCTTGATAACCTGAAAATATGGATGGCCGCCTGAAATTTGTCAACTTAATAAAAATGCGCCAAGGCACGGTAAATGCGCAAACGCACTGAAAATTCGTCAAAGCATTGAGAATGCGTCAAAGCACGGATATTACGTCAAGTCACTAAAAAGGCGTCAAGGCACTAGAAACGCGCCAAGACAAGGAAAATGCGCAAACGCACTGAGAGCGCGCGAACGCCCAAATCTTCAATTTCCTAATGCAAAACTGGGTTAAAATCAAGCAATATTAGCCAAAGCACGAAAATTGAGTTAAAGGTGGACGGACATGAAAAAAAATAATGTTCTCGAAATTCCTTTCAAATATACCCCTCGAGGAGTTGAACTTGTGAGGGCGATGATTGAGGGTGCGGCGCCGCTACCGACTGAGCCACGCGGGCAAAGAGTAAGCGCACGCCCGATTGCATACATAAAGGCGAGGACGACAGCTGTACGCAGAGTGACATTAAGCGTTGTACACCGTCACGGTAGAATGCATACTCTAGCTACAAAAAAACTACGAAAAATCTCCTGTCCCCCACCTTTAACGCACTAGAAACGCGCCAAGACGCCCAAAATAAGCCCGAATTACAAATCTGAAAGAAAATTGGACGGAAAACATGCTAAAGATGTTAAACTGGATCATGCGCCTACAATTAGTCAAGTCACGAGAAAAGCGTCAACGTACCGAAAATGCGCCAACACCCAAATATCTCCAAACCATGCCATGATTATACTCATTTTGAAGCTCTCGGTGAGCCAAATTCAGATTTTCTAGTTTTATCAAATCGAAAAGCTTTATTAAATGACAAAATCTCAAAATTTCCCACCTGTGAAATCATCAAAGTATAATAAGGACTCTGAAAAGTTTTATGTCGATTTCTAGAGAATAAAATTCCGAGCAGAATGAAAGTATAGATCGGGATTAGAGTAAAAGTTTCGAAGATGAACAAATCCATTTGCCACGTCGGAGTCAGCATTCCAGTTTTTTGAATTTCAGATATTTCTGAAAAATTTTCGAGAGAGGACATGGGAGATTTTTTTAGAATTATAGAAAAACAGACAGGCTGAAAAATGTGACAAACGAAAAAAACGGAATTTGTTTGAGAAAAATGACTAAGTAATAAGGACAGAATCAGAAGACAAATTTCTGAATTTTCTGAAAAAAAAAATGAAAAAATTTTAATCAGAAAACCATTAGGCTCTGTTCGGTTGACCGATTCAAAAAATATTAAAATTTTACGGAAATCAAAAATCTCCATTTTTGAAAATCAAAATTACAAAATATTCATTGTTTGAAAACTAAAAATTTTTTTAAACTTTTTATTTTTCAAACGTTCAATTTCTTCAAAATAAGTGGCCTAGATTTTTCTAGAACTGCTTTTTCTAGGCCATCCAAAAATCAAAAAATTATACAAGTCCTGTTGTTGATTTTCGGGGCACAATCACACTGAGAACGGCTGGTTTTGGGCGCTGCAAAGAACGTTTTTGATTAAAAAATTTGGAATTTTTAATTTTGGAAAAAAACATCAGGAAATCAACAAATCAGGAATTTCAATTTCCAAAGAAAGTCAAAAACTTCTCGAGACATCCGAAAGTCAAAAGCTTCAAGAACAAAAGTATATATATATATATATATATAAATGAGAATTTGGGAAATCAGTCATTTGGAAAAAAATTATGTTATTTCGTAATTCCCCAAATTCTTGAAATTCCAGGAAAAAAGAAAGATTCTGCGACGTTTCGAAACAAGTCATTTCGAAACCGCGGAAATCTGATTTTAAAGGTGGGGGGGGGGACATGAAAAAAATAATGTTCTCGAAATTTCGTTTAAATATGCCTCTCGAGGAGTTGAACTTGTGAGGGCGATGATTGAGGGTGCGGCGCCGCTACCGACTGAGCCACGCGGGCAAAGAGAAAGCGCATGCCCGATTGCATACATAAAGGCGAGGACAACAGCTGTACGCAGAGTGACATTAAGCGTTGTACACCGTCACGGTAGAATGCATACTCTAGCTACAAAAAAACTACGAAAAATCTCCTGTCCCCCCCCCCCCCCCTTTAAAAGGAGACGAGATAGCAAAAATTTCGGGGGACAGTTCGGGGGACGAAATCGCGCCGCGCTTATGTAGACCATCGGTCGTCAGGCGCCTTCGCGCCCCCGTAGCTCAGCCGGTAGCAGCGCTGTACCCCTGAGCTGCCTGTCATGAGTTCAACCCCCCCCCCATGGGGGTTCTCTATGCAAAATATCAGGAAAACTTTTTTTTTTGCTGTCTAGCCTCTTTTAAGATCTTCAAGTTTTAGTTTTTTAGCTTTTCAAGTTTTCATAATTTCGAAATCAGTCGTTTCGAAACCGCGACACTTCGAAACTAGTCATTTCGAAACTGCAAAACTGCAATTTGTTTCTTAAAAAAAAAAATTTTTTTTAAATAATATTTCCAATTTTCAATTTCATTTTTACGTGACCGTGTTTTTTTTTTTGGCTTCAAAGTGTCGCGGTTTCAAAATGACTGGTTTCGAAATGACGCGGAACCAAATTTCAAAAAGTGTTCCCCAACTGAAAAAATTCGAAATTTCTAATTTCAAAAATTCTAAAAAATCCCTGAATTTTTCAAAAGAAACCTACCGTAATCCATTTTCCAGAACAAAAAATTTTCCTTATCCTTCGTTTAACATCCCGATTAAGTGTAATTAGCATAATTGGATTAATAAACGAAAAATTTCCGGATACTGTAGGATACCACAGTCGGAACGCTTTCAGACGGGTTCGCTGAAAAAACAATTTCGGGTTTTTTATTTTTTCAAAAATTTCAAATTTGGCGCCAAAATCTTACATCTTCATCAAAGGACAAAACGAATTCTCCCAGATAAAAAATGAAGCAAATGATGCAAAATAAAATCAAAATGAAGACGTGCAGCGTTAAACGAGCTTCTTGAATTTTCGAATTTTGGCTGAAAATAAATGTTTTCAGTTATAAAATTAAAATTTTCAAAAGACCTTTTTTTCGATTTTCTCGAAATCTTCCGGGCCTTTATCATAACTACTGCAATCCTACCGTACATCAGAACTATTGCAAATCCAATTGTAAAAAATGACGTGGCTACAGTAACCGAGAAAATTTGAGCATGAAGTTTGCTGGTCATTATAAAAAGGGAATTTTCGTTTTCAAATGTTGCATCCGAATGTAAAAGAGCTGGAAAATAGATGAGAGTGCCTATGAACCAATGGATAACAATGAGCAATACTGGAGGACAACTGTTGAGGTTCTGAAATTCAAATTTGGCTCTTTGAGAACTTCAAAATGAGTATGAACATGACCTAGTTCCGAGCACGTCGTGATCTAGATTTCAATCTTTAGGTCATTACCTAGATTTCAATTTTTTGGTCATGACCTAGATTACAATTTTTAGGAAATGACCTAGATTTCAATTTTTAGGTCGTGACCTAGATTTCAATTTTTAGGTCATGACCTAGATTTCAATTTTTAGGTCGTGACCTAGATTTCAATTTTTAGGTCATGACCTAGATTTCAATTTTTAGGTCATGACCTAGATTTCAATTTTTAGGTCATGACCTAGATTTCAATCTTTAGGTCATGACCTAGATTTCAATTTTTAGGTCATGACCTAGATTTCAATTTTTAGATCGTGACGTAGATTTCAATTTTTAGGTCATGACCTAGATTTCAATTTTTAGGTCATGACCTAGATTTCATTTTTTAGGTCGTCCATAAAATATGAAGTTTTGAGACCTAGTTCATGACTATACTCGTTTTTGAGCTCCGGACAAGACAAATTGAAATATACAACTTTCGATCGGTTTGAACAAAAATCAAGAAAGTTACAGTCAAATTGAATCCGCGCCATTTTGTTTGGAGTTTTCAAAATTACGAACTATGTCATGTTTTTACTAATTTTGGAGCAATTTTCGAGTAAAACTCAAAAATTCGAAACTCACTTGATTTACAGTACCATGCGGTCGGCATACTGTAAGATAGCGTTGTGCAGTGATCAAAAATACGCCAACGGCGCGCATTGTGAAAAGCATTGGACCACTGTTAGCGTAGAAAATTGGCATAAATGGGCGTAGAGAAAACAAGAAAAGGTTTCCGTAGGAAAAATATCTGGCCAAGATCAAAGAAGAGAAAATCGAGATAGTGGCGATATCCGCGATTCCCTGAATGGCCCTTCTATTTATCAAAACCTCTCTTGAAGGGCCCTTCTATTAGAGGGGCTCTTCTATGAAAGGGGCCCTTTTAATACAGGTTTTACGGTAAATTTAAAAGAAATGCATACCTGAGAAATCATAAGTGTATAATAAGGATTTTTGAAATTCTTATATTTATTTCTAGAAATTATGACATCCAAAAGTACGAAAATATAAATCGGGACCAAAATTACAGTCTGATAGATGAACAGATCCATTTGCCACGTGGAAGTCAGCATTTTTGGTTTTGCTGAAAATTTCAGAAAATTCAAAAAAAAAATTTTTGAAAAAATGTTTTTCATATTTCAGAAAAATTATAGCCCTATTCAGCAAAAAAAGAAACCACAAGCATCATTTTTTGATAGGGACGAGGAAGTCTAGACTCTAGATTTTTCTGGAAGATCAAAAGAAAAATAAGAACACGCCCACTTTTTTCCAGATCTCTGACTTTTTCCAGCGATGGGAAAACCAAGGTTTACGATGATGTAAATGATCAAAATATCAGAGAATCGACAAAAAAACGATTTTTCGATTTTCAGATTCAGCTAGAAAATTTTTCCAAAAAATGTTTTTTTTTGGCATATAATATCCGGAAATAAAACTATGAAAATACAAAGAACAAAAAAAAAGAAAATCAGATTTTTCTCAAATGAAAAAGCCACCTGGAATATCATCAGGAAGTTCTGTGATCACTGATTGTGAGCCAATTTTTGAAAATTCAATTTTTTTTTCTGAAAAAACAACTATCTGAGAAAATGTGTTATTTTTTGCAATGATTTCGAAAAATGGTATTTTATTGAATTTTTATTCTGAAAATATTCAAAGAAATTTTTGAAAATTCGAAAAAAATTTCAAAAAAAAACAACTTTTTTATTGAAACGTTTTTTCTATAAATTTCAATTTTGACAAATTTTGAAATTTTTCAGAAAATCGAAAAAAAGGCTCCACGTCACTTCGAAACAGCGACACTTGGAAACCGGTCATTTCGAAACCGACAGAAAACACGGTCACGTAAAAATGTAATTGAAAATTGGAAAATTTAATGTCTTAAATTAAAAAGAAAAATTGCAGCGTGCAAATTACGCAGTTTCGAAATAACTGGTTTCGAAGTGTCGCGGTTTCGAAATAACTGGTTTCGAAATGACTGGTTTCGAAGTGTCGCGGTTTCGAAATGACTGGTTTCGAAATGACTGGTTTCGATGTGTCGCGGTTTCGAAATAACTGGTTTCGAAATGACTGGTTTCGAAACGACTGGTTTCGAAGTGTCGCGGTTCCGAAATGACTGGTTTCGAAGTGTCTCGGTTTCGAAATGACTGGTTTCGAAGTGTCGCGGTTTCGAAATGACTGGTTTCGAAGTGTCGCGGTTTCGAAATGACTGGTTTCGAAGTGTCGCGGTTTCGAAATGACTGGTTTCGAAATGACTGGTTTCGATGTATCGCGGTTTCGAAATAACTGGTTTCGAAATGACTGGTTTCGAAGTGTCGCGGTTTCGAAATGACTGGTTTCGAAATGACTGGTTTCGATGTGTCGCGGTTTCGAAATAACTGGTTTCGAAATGACTGGTTTCGAAACGACTGGTTTCGAAGTGTCGCGGTTCCGAAATGACTGGTTTCGAAGTGTCTCGGTTTCGAAGTGTCGCGGTTTCGAAATGACTGGTTTCGAAGTGTCGCGGTTTCGAAATGACTGGTTTCGAAATGACTGGTTTCGATGTGTCGCGGTTTCGAAATAACTGGTTTCGAAATGACTGGTTTCGAAACGACTGGTTTCGAAGTGTCGCGGTTCCGAAATGACTGGTTTCGAAGTGTCTCGGTTTCGAAGTGTCGCGGTTTCGAAATGACTGGTTTCGAAGTGTCGCGGTTTCGAAATGACCGGTTTCGAAGTGTCGCGGTTTCGAAGTGTCGCGGTGTCGAAATGACTGGTTTCGAAGTGTCGCGGTTTCGAAATGACTGGTTTCGAAGTGTCTCGGTTTCGAAGTGTCGCGGTGTCGAAATGACTGGTTTCGAAGTGTCGCGGTTTCGAAATGACCGGTTTCCAAACGTCGCGGTTTCGAAGTGACGCGGAGCCAAAAAAAAGACACGTATTAGAACCCTTTAATAGGAGGGTCCCTCTAATAGGAAGGCCTTCGAGATTGAGGCTTTTGAAATTAAAGGTTTTTAGAAGTTTTGAATAGCTCAAAATCATTGATTTCCCTGAATTCGGTAAATTCTCGAAAAAATCTTAAATTTAGGATTTTCTGAATTTTTGGCGCATTTCCCCGAATATTTCCGAATTTCAGAAATTTTGAAAATACGAAACGATTCTTGAGGGGCTTGGTTAGAGAGGGGCTTAGAAAAATAGAAGGGCCCTCAGTGAGAAAAATCAGAAAAAATCAGAAAATTTCCGTAAGTATAAAGTATATAATCAACACTTATTTTTTAATAATACCACAGAATTTTAATTTCTTACACAGTTCAAAATCTGTTACACCATTAAAGGAGGCCAGACATGAAAATTTTCAAAATTCTAGTTTTTTGATATATGACACAGTACAGTCCCAAAATAACAATGAACACCAAACAAGAACACCCTGTTACTGTACAAGCGAGAACGCGACCGTTCTTCCAAGCGGCGGCTCAAGTGTCGCCCACTCCTCGTTTCATAATCGTTTCAGCGGCAGTAGTCGACAAGCGCTGTGTGGTGTAGAGGGGAGCGCGCTTGTCTGTCGGTCGCGCATCGCGGGTTCGATTCCTATCTCTGTTTTTTTTGTTTTCATGCGGCGACATTATGGAATGACCGAACAACAAGAAAAAGTTGGGAATAATTGCCTAACATGGAAGAATTTTAGTGTATACAAAAATAAATAAATGCTCGTCAAGTAGTGCGCATTGGGACGCAATCGCACGATTTTCCGTCAGAATACATGATCTCGCCCCAAGAAAACCCCGTAGACTTTCGTGTCTGGCATCCTTTAAAATATCTGTGCACTTTTCCAATTTCGGACCTCCATTTTATTTCGGGACCTCTAATCTTTCTTCGGACCTCTAAACTAGAAAAGTGCCGAATTATTATGTCATTTGTTTTTCTGTTGTGCAGGGAAACGCGCCAACTCACTCGAAACGCGCCAAGGCATCCAAAATGAGCCGGGGTCAACTTAATGTGACGTAAAACGTTCCAGAATTTCAAAGCAGATCCTCCCGCCCCTAAAATGTGTCAATTCACAAGAAATGCGCCAACACCCAAATTTCTCCGAACCACGTGATGATTATACTCATTTCGAAGCTTTGAACAAACTCAATTCGAAAATTAAGCGCAAAATATCGAAATTCGATTTTTTAGAGCTTTGAAACGAGCCTAAAAAGGACTTTGTCATATTTTTGAAATTTTCAGATTTTTTGAAAAATCTGAAAATTTCATTTTTCTAAACTATGCATGTTTATACTCATTTTGAAGCTCTTAATATGGCGATTTCAGCAATTACGAAAAAATCAATGAGACAGTATTTTTATTTGTACTAAAAATTAGAAATTATTTTAAAAAAGTCAATTAAAAAAACATTGAAATCTGTAAAGCTGTAAAGACGAGAAAAATGGAATGATAAGAAGTTGAGATGAAGAAAGAGATAAGGGTACAAAAAAGGGGGCGGAGCTTGAGAGACAACATTCAAAAAATCAAAATTCGGAATCCAGAAGCTGTTGTTCCATCAATTTCAGATCCTGACTCGGAGAGATCATTTCATCGCTCTCTGCCTGAAGCAAGAGATCCTCTTCTGTGAAATTCTTCTCGTCTTCAGAATTCTGAATTCTTTCAGATGACGTCAAAGTTGAAATTTCCAGATTCTTGGTTCCTAGCGATTCAGATGACGTGGCGATTTCAGAATTCATGGATTCTGAAATTCCTGATGACGTGGCGACGTCAGGATACGAGAAATCTGGAAAATTTGGAAAATTAGAATTTTCATAAAATTCAAAAAAAAGTCACCTGCTCATTTTCCGGGATTACTGTAGTTCCGCTGGTGGTCCCAAAAAGTGGAATGGATGTACGAGAAGTGTCGTCGTCCAGTTTGATTTTGCATTGTATGGTTTTCTGGGAAAATGGAATTTTTTAAAAATTTAGAAATTTCAAAAAAAATGAAAATTTCAAAAAATCTAAAAATAAATTTTTTGAAAAATTTGAAAATAAAAAAATTCAAAAATTTTTTTTTAAACTTTTTTCCATAATTTTCAAATTTCCCGCCAAGCCGAACCTTCAAATCTCCCATTCTCGCTGGATCCGGCTTCCTTGGCGTCTGTAGATACGCCGGTAGCTCCTCAATCATCTCTGCGTCTCCTGCTCTCTCTTCCTCATGATCTCCATCTACCGTAATCCTTCCTCCCAATGTCTGTGTCTCTTTCGCTCTTTTGATCACTTCAATTTCCTCTTCCAGCTTCGTCAGCTGCTTTTCATAGGTACTTTTTATTGTCTCAATCGCCATGTATATCGATTCCTGAAACTTTTGGGAAAATGGGTTAAAAATCGAGGTTTAGAGTAGGTTTTTAGGGATTTTTAGGTGAAAAATTGTTAAAAAATGGGTATTTCAGGTCTAGAAAGCTAGTTTTTCAAAAAATGAAAAAAAAAATTTTTTTTCGAAAATTTTGAAAAAAAAATCCAAAAAAAATGTTTTTTTTTAAATTTTTTTTTCGAATTTTTTATTTTTTTTTTCACAAAACTAAAAATCATGAAGCAAATAGGGATCTATTTTTAGTCCGAAAAATTGAATTTTTTTTGAACAATTTTCAAAAAAAAGCACCACCCACCACAGTCATACTATCGTACACCGCCGGCTTTTCCGTTCTCAATCGATCTTCCAATTTATCGATTTTCTCGTGAGCCAATTTTAGCTCCGATGCCGATTTATAGGCATTCACACGTAGCTCATCGTCTTTTTTTGCCAAAATTTCGTCGAAATTTCGAGTTTCCATTGAACGAGACACGTCGAGTTGCTGCGAGTTTTCCAGCTCTTTTAGGAGACGTCTGGAATGCAAAATTTGAAAAAAAAATAGATTGAAAATGAAGGAAATCTTGAATTTTGGAAATTTTTTGAAATTCTTCAAAAATTAAATTTTTTTCAAAAAAAAATTTCAAATTTTGAAATTCAAAAACTTCTCAAAATTCGTGATTTCCCAAAAAAAGTGTCAAAGCTCACTGAATTTCCAAATTCGCACATTGCAAGTCTTGCTCGATTTTCTTCACATTAAACGCCGCATTGTCCAGCTGCTTCTGTTTGGCGTCAAGTCTGAAATTTTGGGACTTTTTTTTGAAAAATGCCTTATACACTACAAACTACAAAAAAAGCAAAAATGTGGTGATAGTTTTGAACTCGCGGAGTCGTGAGAAACTTGCCGCAAGTCTTCGAACTTCCCGTTCTTCTCTCTTGCATCCTTAATAAATCTAGGCATTCACACAGGAATGATAGAAGAGTGAAGGTGCTGTGCGAGGGAGTCGAACCAACAACCTCTCGCCTCTGTGGTGGCGCTTTAACCAACTACACCACAGGTGCATCACTCTTCCCTTCCTTTCGTTTCCCTTGACATGCCAGGCGAGACGCAGGGAAAGAAATAAAAACACTTTGCCGAGGGAGGGGGTCGAACTTGTCTCCCCCTTTACTGTGGATCTGTGCCGGCACTTTCACCAACTACAACAACAGTGCATCACTCTTGACTTCCCTTCTTTCTCTAAACATGGCAGGGAAGCGCAGGGAGAGAAAGAAAGAATTAAAAACATTTTGCCGAGGAGGGGAGTCGAACCTGCGACGCACCTTTCGGCGGACTGGTGCCGCCGCTTTAACCAACTACACTACGCGTGCATCACCCCCCTTACCCTCACTTACTCTTCACATTGCTGTCGTTGCGCGCCGACGACCGTCTCACATTTCGCCTTGAGCGCCGCGTTGCGCTCGTTGAGAACCGCGATTTGTTGACGGACGATTTCCGATTGGTAGGTGATGGCGCGGATCTCCTGGAATTCAGAAATTCATTCAGAAGACGTTGGAGAGGCCAGAAGAGGTGAAAAATGACAAAAAATTCGAGAAAAAACGACTTATTTTGAGCCAAAAATGGGCACTTTTGAGTCAAATTTGAATCCTTTTCGGTTTTTCTCTGGTGGCCTAGAAAACCCAAGAAAAAACTAGGCCAGGGTCATTTTTCACCTCATTTTTCGCTTCCGTCGCTTCGTTCGCCGCTGTCACTTGGTCGCGAAGATGACGTCCCGAGATTTCCAGCTGATTGATTCTCTGGAAAAGTTGAAAATTCTGAATTTTTGAAATTTTCAATTTGGTGGCCTAGAAATCCAAAACTCGGCCAGCAACATTTTTCGAGCTATTTCGACGATTTGGGGGGTCAATTTTCCTCGTTTTTTCGCCATTTTGGCTCATTTTTCCTCTGTTTTTTTGCCATGGCCTAGGATTCCAAAACTCGACCACTAAAATTTTTCGGCCGATTTGCCGTTTTTTGGGCCATTTTTGGTCTATCTTTTACCGATTTTTCATTCGGTGGCCTAGAAATCCAAAACTAGGCCACCGAGATTTTCGTTGTTTTTTGACGGTTTTTAGTCATTTTTCGTTAATTTTCATAGTTTTTCACAATTCTGTAAGTTTTAAGGTCCGTGGCCTAGGATTCCAAAACTCGGCCACGTAAAATTTTTCGGTGATTTTGACGATTTCTGGGTCAATTTTTCTCGTTTTTTCGCTATTTTTGTGTCAATTTTCATGTTTTTTATTCAAATTGTCGAAATTGAATTTGATAGCCTAAAACATCCAAAACTCGGCCACCAAGTGAATTTTGAGCGATTTTGACGAGTTCTGGGTCAATTTTCTTTGCACTAAAAATCACCTAAAAATTGGAAACTCCGTGATTTCTAACAATTTTTAAATCGGTGGCCTAGAAATCCGAAACTCGGTCAGCAAAATTTTTCGTCGATTTTGACGAGAATTTGTTCAATTTTGATGAATTCTGAGTCATTTTTTCTCTTTTTTTCGCTTTTTTCGCTATTTTTGCTCATTTTTTATCGATTTTTAGTCCTCACATTAGCCATTTCCGTCTTCATATCAATCATCATTCGTCGCTCCGACACCACCTCGTTGTATCGTTTATTCGATTGATCTCTCTGAATTTGTGCATTTCTCAGCTCCTGCTGAAGCATCGAATTTCTCTGCGTCTCGATTTGTCGATGGCCTTGCTCGGCGAGCAGTGCGTTTTTTAGCCGACAAATTTCAGCCTCCATCATGTTGTTTTGTTGGAGGAGTTGCGATGCTTGAGACGCATAATTTGAGGTGGGTTGGGGTGGAATTCTGGAAAAATTGATGAAAAATTCAAGATTTTTGGAGGAATTCAGCCTAGAAATCGTTTTTGAGATTTTCTAAAAAAAATTTTTTTTTTGAAAATTTCAAGATTTTTCAAAAAATTAAAAAAACATTTTTTTTGAAATTTTTTCAGAATTTCAGATTTTATCCTTTTCAGAACTCTAAAAACTCGAAATTTCCGAAAAAAAATCCACTGAAAAAGACGATCTTGACCGATTTTTCTCTTGGTGGCCTAGAAATCCGAAAAACTCGGCCATGGACGGAGTTTATCGTTTTTGAGCATTTTTGGTGTTTTCAACGTATTTTTTGACAAAAATTCGAAATTTCAAACATTTTTTGTCTCAGAAATCAATTGAAAATTAGGAATTTCATAAAAAATTTTATTTTGAAAATTTCAAAATTTTTTAAAAATTTCAGTTTCAGTTTTTTATGTTTTTCAGAACTCAAAAAATTCGAAATTTTCGGAAAAATCCACTGAAAGAGACGATCTTGACCGATTTTTCTCTTGGTGGCCTAGAAATACGAAAAACTCGGCCACCGACTGAAATTCTCATTTCTTGAGCATTTCTTGACGTTTTCGTGATATTTTCGACGCAAATTTTGAGATTTCAGCCAATTTCGATCTAGAAATGGCCTTGGAAAACTTTTCGAAAAACATTTTTTTTTTGAATTTTTCGAAAATTCAAATTTTCAAATTCCCGCGTCGCCACCGTACCCAAACGCCGGATTCACATGAATTCCCGATGCTCTCTCATGCCGCTCATACGATCTGGATCTGCTTCTGGACCGCCTGTGCTTGTGTTTGTGCTTTCGATGTCTGCGTCTCTTACTCTCTCGCTCTCTGGAACTCGATCTGGAGCGATCCATAGTACCCGTTTTGTGCTGAAAATTCAAATTTCCAAAAAAAAAATTATTTTTCAGATTTTTATGCAAAATACATTTCTGTAGTTGTCTACTGTAGTGGTGGAATATTTGATCTACTAGAGAGAAAAAAATCGATGAATAAATTCATAAACGTTTTTGAATTTAGGAATCTGGATCTGTTTGGGTGGAAGAGAAAGGGGCGGGGCTAATAGGGGAAAAAATCAATAAAATCAATAATTTTCGGGATTAAGGGGGGGGGGGGGGAGTACTGTAGTGATGAAAATAAAGTGGGCAACTCACACACATATATTATGGAAGGAAAAGAGGGGGAAAAAAGGAAAATTGAAGAATTTTGAAAAAAAAAATTTTTTTGAAATTTTTAAAATTTTCAAAAATTCAAAAAAAAATTTTTCGAAAATTTCAAAAAATTCAAAAAAATTTTTTTCGAAAATTCTCAAAAAAGTCAAAAAAATTTTTTTTTCAAATTTTCCAAAAAATAGCGAAAGGGGAAGAAGAACACGAAGACATGGTGAGCAAAACACGAATTTTCAGAAAAAAAAGAGGGGAATTTTAAATGAAATTTTTAAAAAATTTAAAAAATCGATCATCGATTTTTTAGGACGCGAGAGAGAGAGAGAGATGAAAAAGAGAGAGAGAGAGAGAGACGCAGAGAAAAGGAGAGGAGTGTGTGAAAAACAAAAAAAAATAATATTAAGATTTCATATATCATGTACAGTTATCGATTCATTTTTGGGTTGGGTGGGAATTCAAAAAAAAAAATTTTTTTGACAGAGAGAAAAGTGAGAGTGTGTGAAACGGAGAGAGTGGAGAGAGCGAAAGAAAAATACAAATAATATTTTTTGGGCGCGAAAAATAAAAATTCAAAAAAAAACAAAAAGAGACAAAAGATTCGGTTATATCATCATTAGAGCAGCAATCATTGGAAAATTTCAAGTAGCAATATACTGTAGGAAGTGGATTACTGTAGGAAGAGGAGTACTGTAGAAGGAGGGGCGGAGCCAGTTTATCTGAAAAAAAACCGGTAATTTAGAACTATTTTAGGCCGAAAAATCGCAAAAACAATTGGTGGCCTAGAAAATTCCAAACCTCGGCCACCGCCATTTTCAGCTGATTTCGCCGTTTTAAAGCATTGAAAACCGATCTAAGTGATTCTAGAAGTCCAAAATAGCCAAAATTTCAAAAAAAATTTTCCATGGCCTAGGATTTTCGTTGGTGGCCTAGAAAACTCCAAAATTCGGCCACGACCATTTCCAGTCGATTTTGACCAGTTTAAGCCAATTTTTTGACCATTTTCAATCAAAATCGTCGAAAAATCGCCAAAATTAAAAAAAAAATTTCGGTGGCCTAGAAAATTCCAAAACTCGGCCACGGCCATTTTCAGCCGATTTTGAAGATTTAGGCCGTTTTTAAGGCGTTTTTGAGCTGTTTTCGAGATCACATATTGTAAAAATTCCTATTTTTTCTGGTGGCCTAGAAAAATCTTCGGCCATCAAACTCACTTTTTCGGTGTCGCCGCCGCCGCCGCCGTCGTATCAGATCCTGTCGACGTCTTCTTGACCACTGATGGCGATTTGTCACCGCCGCCGCCACCGCCACCGGCGAGAACCGACGCCATCGGCAACGGAGTCATATTTGGGTTGTCCTGGAAAGAACGAAAAATTAGTTTTTGGTGGCCTAGAAATCCGGAAAAAAAACTCGGCCAGCTCAATTTTTCCCATGTCAGGGGGCGTTGGAAGTCAGTTTCGATAGAAAAAAAACGGCAAAAATCGAGGAAAAAGGGGCTATTTCGACGGTTTTTAGTTTGGTGGCCTAGAAATCCGGAAAACTCGGCCATCATGATTTTCAGGCTATTTTCTTTTTTTTTTTTTGAGAAAAAGTATCCCCAGATGGCCTAGATATCAAAAACTCGGCCACGTCCGTTTTTAGTGAATTTGGGTGAATTTTGAAGGAGTTTCGGACTGTTTTAAACTCCAAAATCGTGAAAATTTCAAAATTTTCTCCGGTGGCCTAGAAACCCAAAACTCGGCCACCAAAATTTTCGTCGTTTTCCCGGCTATTTTTCAGCCATTTTAGTTGGTTTTTCGCAAATTTTAATCTATTTTGGCTCATTTTTCCTAGATGGCCTAGAAACCCAAAACTCGACCATGACATTTCTGATCGATTTTTGCAGTTTTTGTGTCAAATTTAGCTGGTTTCTCAGCGATTCTAGGTCGTTTTGTTGTTCATTTTTCGCTAGATGGCCTTGAAATCCAAAACTCGGCCACCCAAATTTTTTCGTCGTTTTTCGCGGGATTTTGGTCGATTTTCGATCACTTCAGCTGGTTTTTCACCAATTTCCGGCCCAGATGGCCTAGAAATCCAAAATTCGGCCATCAGGCGATTTTTTGACGATTTTCGGGTCATTTTGGATGACGTTTCTGTGTCGAATTTTTGCAGTTTTTGGGTCATTTCAACCGGTTTCTGGCCGATTTTAAGTCTTTTTTCAGCCAAAAATGCTGCGTTTTGGATTTCAAAAAATTCAAAAAAAAATTTTCCGAAAAATAGCGAAAGGGGAAGAAGAACACGAAGACATGGTGAGCAAAACACGAATTTTCAGAAAAAAAAAGAGGGGAATTTTAGGTGAAATTTTTTAAAGAATAGAAAAAATCGATTATCGATTTTTTAGGACAATTAGGACAATTAGGACTTTTTTAGGATGATTTTTCAGCCAAAAATGCCAAAATCGAAGATTCGGCCACACTCATTTTCGAGCGATTTTTTGACGATTTTCGGGTCATTTTGGACGTTTCTGTGTCGAATTTTTTTTGCAGTCTTTGGGTCATTTCAGCCGGTTTCTGACCGATTTTGGGTCATTTTTCATCCAAAAATGCCGCGTTTTGCCTCATTTTTCACCCCAAAACCACCCTACCTTCATCCTCTTCATATAATCACTGAGCTTCTCGGGAAACATCGATGGCGAGACTTCTTTTCCCTCGGCAGGCGGATCCAATTCGAGCGCTTCCAGCTTCTTCCAGAACAAATCTCTGTCCTTCTCGCGTTGTTTCTCACGAACACGTTCTCCTTTATAGGTTGATGTTAGCTCATCGAACAGTTTTCCATTCATCTCCATGAAAGTTTTCAACACATTGTAGACCAGAGCGACGATCGTCTGATTCCAGTGCTCCTTGGAGATACGGTATAGGGCTGGGAACATTATTGGCATCACCTGGAACATTAAAAATTAGCTTTTAGTGACATTTTTAGTTGAAATTTGGCATTTTTCGAGCTAGAATTGAGCAATTTATGCCAAAAATAGTCTCAGAATCAATGTTTTCAGGCCTAAAACTGCAAAAAATGACCCAGAACCGTGTTCAAAACTGACAAGGAAGGTCTAAAATCTGGATGGCCGAGTTTTTCGGATTTCTAGGCCATCTGGTTTTAATGAACACAAGGAGGCTGGAAAATGATCTAAATGAGCCTAGAATCAGTCTCATAGAGCAGAAAATATCCTGAAAATCGTCATGGCCGAGTTTTGGATTCCTAGGCCAGCGACATCAAAAACCGTCGAGATGGCCTAGAAACCCAAAATTCGGCCATGATAGTTTTCAGGCTGTTTTCTATCATCTTAAGACTCAAAATTCTTGGAATCTACCCTAAATGAGCCTAGAAATCTAGATGGCCGAATTTTCCGGAATTCTAGGCCTTCTAGTTTTAATGAACCCAAAGAGACCGAAAATTGACCGGAATGAGCCTAGAATCGGGGCCGAGGNGGCTACCCGGTCTTATGGGATTTGTTTGCGATGTTCGGCAGTTTTGGCTCTTAATAGTATATTTATTTATTTGCTATCCGCTGCACGGAAAGTTCTCAAAATTTTAGATATTTGAGGGCGGAAATTTTAGTTTTTTGATGCCTGTAAAAATTTGAGATTTTAGAAGTCACGTAATTTTACGAAATTTTACGAATTTTGAAGTTTGGTCTGGAATTTCAGTTTTTACAATTAGACCTGAAAAAACGAAGCTTTTGAATAACTTTGAGATATTAGGCTGGTACAAAAGTAATGCGCGTTTTTGATTTACTTTATTACTCCCGTCCGAAATCAATGCACGTTGCGGCCGAAAATTTAGTCCAAATCGCAACGCCGGTCGCACAGCGAAAAC